TAGAATTCAGAAGATCTTGCCCGATTGGAGCAATGGTCTGAAATAAAAAGGATGCAATGCAAGAAGGACAGGCAGCAAGCAGTCGGAGCTGCACAGAACTGTCAGCACACACCAACATGTTTGTGTTCCAAAGAACAACGAATGAATCCCTCCTTAGTGTCTGAAGTTTATAGGTGACTGGATGTCCTTTCACCCAGAAGCATTTCAAACCCAAGGTAGTTGTTAGCTCTGTGCTCCCCAACACAAGGCTGCTTCCTAGGGTGCTGGCTCTGACCTGCAGTGAGCACTGATTCCAGCTGGTCTCCAAATTCCACCACTTGGCAGGGTTTATCTGGGATCTGGGCGAGGGATTTGGCAATCACTTGATCACAGCTTACCAGGGAACTCCCAGCAGAGTTTATGGCATTTTGAGCTTGATGTTTACACTAGTAACAGAATTCCTTCTCCGTCCCTCTCCTTCTAAAAGATGTTTCACTTTATTTTTATCACCTTCTATTTAAAGCAGCTGCAACTTTGAATCAGCTTTCTCTCTTAAGCCTCGATCTTCGAAGCAGTAACTGGAGCACAAAGCTTTGCAGGAGCAATCTGACAGTAACTGACACAAAACCCCACTACATGTGGGGGAGTGATGGGGAATTAAGGAAAATAACATCTCAAGACTAAAGCCCTAAGTTTCATGTTTAACTGCACATTCTGCAGTTCCTTAAGTCATTATCCTTACAATACAGGACCCTGAAAAACCAGCAAGAATTCAATGCTTTAAGGTGCGGTTTTAGATACATTCTAGCTCCTGATGACAGGAAAGACTGACACAATTAGCAGCTGCGTGGCAAAGGCTCTCAGACACCATGATGGACTTTAAAGAGGTTCACAGGCTACTACAAAGTTAAAACACCGTGAGCCTGTAAAGAAAGCACACTGCAAGGACCTGACCTTCACTGCAATATCAAGAGCAGTAGCATACACTTTCCTGCCTTTTGGAAAATACTCTTCTGCAGTGACTACAAGTCTGTAAGGAAAAGATAATGGAGATTGACTGTCTCAAAGAGCACCCACTGGCATCACTACATGCCCTTGCCTGACGACAGTCACCATTCTCCTCAGTTATACAGCAGAGATGACAACCACTTCTGCTTGTCTCAGCACTGAAGAGTGCATGGAGGCACCTTGCAGCAAGATGTCACTAACAGCAGCCAGTAATTATTTTATCAATTACAATTACCCGTGTTAGGCAATAATAATTTGCTATTTCTGAAGAGCTTTGCTGAAGACTGCAAATACTGAATTCCAGTATGACTATTTGATACCAGTCATGAAGAGAACAATACAAGTGCTCATCTTCTACATCTCTTCTTACTTCTGATTACAACAGCTGCA